GGGGGGGGGGGGGGGGGGGCTGTTGCGAGCTCGACGTGTCGTGTCCCTTCCCTCCCCCCCCTTGCCAGCTGAGCTGCATTTCATTTCTGCACTATTCTGCACCAACCATTGCAACAACAGTTGCTCAATGGGAACGACGTCTTCTATCCCTCGGGTGGGGCTGGCGTACAAGGTGCCGGAAAAACGCAGCATCAGGCGCGGGAGCCGCCTCAGCCTGCGCTCCGTCTTTCGGCGACAATCCACAGCTTCTGTCGCCAGCTGGCCGAATGACCCCGAGCAAGGAATCGACTCTGACCAACCCGAGCCCCAGATCACTGTGGAAGACGTGGACTCCTCAGACCACACTGCAGAAGACCTCAGGCGTTCACGCTCAACATGGACGACATCCTCACCGAGTAGCAGAGAGTCGAGGAGGAGCACTGATGCCAATGGAACGGGGCTTTCCTTCGCTTATCGATCTCACAACAGAGTGGAGGCCTTCACCCCGACTGACGATGACGAGTGGGGCAATGAAAGGAGAGGCAAAATGGCATGGCGGGCGTGGCGCAAGAGAAGGAGGGCGACGATTGCCGGGTCGCCACAGACCTCTGTACAGGACCGTGACGCGCGCGCAAGCCTGTCGCTGGCTTTTGACGATGACACTGTCGACGAGAACAGCGCGTTTCCGTACTCGACGAACCCCTCCGGACATGTCTTATCGCAGCATGTGTATCATGATGAGGTGGCTGCCTTCGCCCGCTCACTTGGCGTGGATGTGTCTTCTGAGATGGATCTACTGTGGCTGATCGAAACCACTCTCCGATGGCCGCTTCCGCGTACGCTGAGCATGAGTCTGAGACGTACGGTCCTTTGATGACATGCTCCGCATCTCTTTGCAGCCCGGTGGACTTGCCATGCCGACAAGCAGGGCCGGATCTTCTATTTCTTCGCAGAGGTCAGGGAGGCAGCAGAAGAGGATACCCAGAGAATTGCTTTATTCACCCATATAATTGTACAGGCCGAGATCTCGACGTTTCGTCACCCTTCCGAGCTGATGCTCAGGGGCCTTCTGGATATCGCAAGACAGAGAAGGAGGTAACTGCCTGACAGACACGGAGAAGCAGACGAATTGACTCAATGACATGGCTGCCTCCTCTGTCCCGTGTTCAGTGGCCGAATGGCGTGCCTTGGTGAGACACTGTGGCGCGCTCACCAGACGGCCATCCAAGTATTGCACGGGTGGAGCGGACCCTTCTTCGTCCATCACGGAGGACAGCCAGTGCCGTTCTGGCACAACCGGAGGCTGGGCTTCTCTTCATACGGCGATCCCAGGGAGGATGTCTCATTCTTCTTGACGTTTCACTTCTCCCTGCTCAGAGGTCAGCCTCCCTCTGGTCACTTGCCCGTCTCATGTAGTGTGGTTTGTGTGGCCACAGGCATCCAGGAGAATGTGCAGCCGAGGAAACGGCGTCCATGTTTCCGTAACTCTTCATCGCTGCCTCTCTCTCACACGTTGTCGGACCACTCATTGAAGGCCCACCTCCCCTCCATCCTGCCGGCAGCTTTGCACACCCCCGCCTCTTCGATAACCACGCGGCCTTCGTCCGGCCATCCAACTGTCGACCGGCCCATTGAGCCGCCAAGCGGCGCTGGCAGACCCAAGAGTGCCCCTGCAGAAGACGCCAGAAATGGCAAACAGGAAAGAGAGGCGGCTCTGCTACAAGCGGCAGCTGCCAGCCCTCCGTTGGCGCGAGTGGTGTATGGCCAAGCTCCTCCCGTGCCATCAGCAACGCCTGTGCGCATTTGGGTGAAGCCAAAGAGGCCGGACACAGACACTGGGTCGAGCTCGACAGAGAGGAAGAAGACCTTCAGGAGCAACTGGCAGCCGTCTGAAGAAATGTCCCCGAGATACGATGACGACGGCGGGGCGGCAATTGTGAGGGCCAAGAGCCTTGCGAGCAGCTTTGGGGCGTCGTCACGAAGCACGACACTGTCAGAGAGCCACACTGGTATGAATGTGCACGTGTGTGTGGAGGGAGGTGATGTGGGAGAGAGGCAGAGAAGACGCTCCAAGCGCGGCAAGAGACAGAAGATGCCTCCTTGATTGATGGATGAGTCACTCAATGGATGGATGGTAAGTTAGCAAGTCCGACCATGCAGAACGACCGCACGCCTTAAGACACACACCCACGCCCTATCTCCCCACCTACCTAGTACAGAAATCAATCTTCCTCATTCACTCCTTCGGTGGTCACTATCTGCTGCCTTGGACCGCACTGCACCTCTCCATGTGCTCCTTCGTCGCCACGCGCATGTCGCCCTCCTTGCCCAACACCTCCACATGCGCAAGCTCCCTTAGACCGATGAGCAGCTTGGCATAGCCGAACTGGTAGATGTAGTGGTCCAGCGGCAGCAGGTGGACCGACGCAGAGACACCATGCTCACTGATCGACACCTCCCTATTGACGTACCTGCACACACATGCAGACAGACACCCCATTCTTTGTGGCCCGCCTCTCTTCTGATGGTTAGTGCAATCACTCACTTTTCCTTCCACATGGCCTTCAGGGCCGCCACAAACACCCCGACCGTCCTTTGTCTCAGCTCCTTTCTCCGCCTCGATAGCTCCTCGGCACTCAGTGCCGCGACGTGGGGCAGCGCAAACCCATTCCCACCCGCAGCCGCAGCCTCCTTCCCAAGAAACAGAGGCTTGTCGTGGCTCAGGCTCCGTGATGATGACAATCCAGCAGGCTGGTTCCTGATTTTCCTGCTCGCCGATCTGCTGCTTCGTTCTGAGTCGCTGTGCGGCTGTGAGGAAGCGCTCGATGAGGCGGGAGTATGTGTCGGCAGGACCGCTGGGGCCTGGAGGGTGCGGCTGCGGGGTTGGTGGTCTCTGAAGAGAGACGGCAGGAGAGCCTGCTGCTGGTTTTCCTGTTCTCGCTGTTGCTGCTGTTGCTGCTCTTCCCGATCCCTGAGGCGCAATCGTATGCATGCATAGTGAACTACCATTTACTTGAGGATGAAACCATTTCGTTACTTGAGGAACTTGTCTTTGCGCAGTCGTCTGGGGTGCTTCTCCTGTTTCTTCTCCTTGGCCCGCAGGCGCCTCTCCTCTTCAGCCCTGGGGCTGTCGTCATGCGCCTCGCCATACAGGCCGCCATATCCCTCATGAACACCACCCGTCTCAGCGGCAGCAAGCTCGTCCTCCAGGTCGAGGAGGTCACAGTCTTTGGCCCATTCGGCCGCCTGCAGCGCGCAGCCGTCCTCAATCAGCTGGGCAAGGAGACCCAAGAAAGTCGACCTAACGGGAAACGCCATCAGACAGAGAAACGAGGTTTGCAGACGGTCGTGTGATCGATCAGCCCATCAAGGCTCACTTCTCGATGTTTTCTGGGCGGATGGTGTGGATCTGCGCGGTTTGTGGAGGTGCCGGAGGTGCTGGGGAGCTCGCCGCTGGCAGCAGGGTGGCCAGAGGAGCCGACGGCATCGACTGTGGTGGCTGGGCGCCGTAGCGTACGCTGCAGCCGTCAGGTGCCAAAGACAGAATGGGGTACATTGTTTGGAGGAAGGCTGACACACTCGCAAACCCGAGCCTGCGTGACACACCGTCGCATTGGAATGTAACGACAAATGCATTCACACACATCCGCTGTCTGTTTGTATGACCTTTCGACAGCGCCATCAAGCCCGGATGAGTATCGTTCGAAGTAGTACTCGTCGAGATCCGCCAGGGAGATCGAGCCAGCCCTCCCCTCCTGCCCTCTCTCGCCATCGACAGACGAGTGCACGATCTCCAGCACACGCCACTGCAGCTCACGCAGACTGGTGCACACCGACACACAGAGAGGCAGAGACATGTCAAGGGCACTTTTCACCGATCTTCGTCCTCAGCCCACCCCAGTGCATCAGAGTCTCTTCTCGTCGGTGAACTCCCCCTTCTTGGTCGGTCTGCGCTGACTGTTGCTGCTGCTGGTGCTGCTGCTGGTAGAGACGCCATCGCCCTCTGCACCTGCGGCAGGCCCACCGCACTGCTGCCCCCACCGCCCTCGTTGGGCGTCAAGGATATCCTCTCCTGCTGTATGACCAAGGCGATCGCCGGATCTGACTGCACCGCCGTCGGTCTGCCGCCGTGTCTCTCGGACCTCTCAGGCCTTTCAGGGCGGCCAGGCCGTGCTTCCAAGTGCCTCGCCAACATGGCCACAACAGCCGGAGAGAAACCCTCCGACGCTTGTGGGCTGGTGACGGGGCTGCTCAGTGCTGCCGGAGGGGGTGGCGGTGGGGGCTGGGGCGGTGGAGGCGGTTGGCCGTGCGGCGCCCTTGCTGGCGGACTGTTATATGCCTGTCGGGACATCTGGCGTGTGGGCGGAGGAGGTGGGGGCGGCTGATAAGGCAATGGCGGGGGCGGCGGCTGAAATCGCAAGCTTCCGGGGGGCGCTGACGACGAATAATGAGGTGGCGAGGATGGCAAGGGGGGAGGTGGGGGGATCAATGGCGGCGATGGTTGGAATGCAGTCTTGGGGAAGCTGTGGAAATGATGCTGTTGGGGCATCGGACTCGCAGGACCGCTCTGCATGAAGGATGGAGGGAAGAACGGCTCAGCAAGAGGGTTCAGCTGCGTGTGCGGCAACAGAGGCGAGGGCGTCGCGGGCAATGACGAGTAAGGCAGTGGATGCTCGAAGGGAGCCGACTCTTGTGGGGCTGTCTTGGTCCTCGCACAGTAGAAGGCCGCCCCCTCCTCCCGATCGACCACATGCCCCGTGTCAAAGGACAAGAACGGATCGATGTTGCTGCGGTACGGGGGCGATGCGCCCATGGATGCTGCGAGATTCATTGGCGACATGGGTGGCCTGTCGAGCAATGGCGGAGGGACAGACTTGCTCAGAGAGCTGGCAGGAGGGGATTGTGGCGTCGGCAACCTGCAGGAAAATCGCAGCGAAGAGACATGAGAACTGTGTCGCAGAGTCTCTCTGCATGTTCTCACTTACAAGCCGTCAGTCGACTTCTTCGTCTTGGGGATCTTCTTCTTCTTCTCGTGGGGCGTGGCCAGCAGCCCGTCTCCCGTCTCCATCCACTCCTTGGGAGTGATCGGGAAGTGCACCTTGAGCGAGTCAGGGGGCGGGTTCACGGCATGCTGACCTGCAGACGTCCCGAAATGAATAGAAACCCGGTAGGGGAAGGGGTGCCGCAGCTGCGAAGAGAATTTGGGCACCCCTGTGTCTGTGGGGAGCGGCAGCAGGCCATCCCCCTCTGTCACCGCCCTTGCCACACCGCCGCCCGCCGATTTCCTGTCTCGGGACCGGCCCACGGCTGCCGGCGCTGTGAGGTACAGAGTGGGCCGTGTTGTCAACGGGTCGCTCACCGCCCCGCCCGCTCGAAGCCGGCTCTGCTGGGGCATCTTGGCGTGCTCGTCGTCGGACTCTGCCTCCCGCTCAAAGGCCTGCGGGCCTGACACGGTGATGGAGACGGTCTTGCCTGGTGTTGCGGGGCTGAGGACGGGCCCTGTCTTGCTGAGCATGCTGTGGGAATCTGGCAGAGGCCTCGTGGTGCGTGGGTGGGGCATCGTGGCGGCGGATGGGGGTGGCGGGGCGGGCCCCACGTGAAGTGAACTCAACTCCTCTGGACATGCTGCGCACATCATGCCAATATTGCACGAGAGGACACACATGCATATCAGTTTGAGAGAGAAGACCTCTCGCTGTCTGCCTCTTCGTCGTTCGTCATCCATCTCACTTGGTTGTTCGTGTGAATGCATGTGCTGCCGAACAAACAGCATCATGTCCCGGCTCCATGAGAAGGGCCGGAAAGACACCCGCCGGACGGGCTTCCCACAACCGTTTCCGACGTTCGGAGGACTCTTCGATGCCATTTTTGAGTTGCCGGACCGCGTGAGGTTTGGAGCAGAGAGATCGTCGAGAAAACGTTACTTGCCGTTGAGATTTGTTGAGAACCTTCTTTGACGGCGAGTGTGTCATCATCTTCAGCAGCAGAGTGCTCAGTACAACAGGAAGAGAGATAGACCCGCATGAATCCACGTGTACGTGCATCAGAAGGACACACAGACGACTGCCTGACCAGGCAAGGCAGGGCACCCAGGCCGCAATAAAGCAGCATGTAAAACAAGCGCACTCATGTATCCCATCACGCGTCAGATACGGCTCCCCTTTAGCTATCACCCATCACAAAAGCACGAAAATGACATTACAACACCTGCACTCCTCCTCCCTGTTCACCAAATCTACTACTGAAGCGCTTCCGTCGACTCCTCGGTGTGCGCCTCGCTCGCCGCGGCCTTGCTGCCGTGCGGCATGAGAAACGCGGGGAAGCCCTGCTCGGCATCTGGCTGGAGGTCCAACAACTTCATGACGTTGTCGTGTATCGTCTTGGCGTACTTCTCCGCAAGGCAGCGGTTGACTAGGTTGGACTCATACTGATGGACAATAGATACCACACACCCCACACATCCGGATGCAGTGAGGGGGTGTGTGTGTGTGTGTGTGTGTTTCTGGCTGTCTGCTGACCTGCAGGGACCAGTTGAGTCTGCCCGAGATGGTGACCAGGTTGTGGGAGAAAAGACTGTTGCCGACACCGTGCTGGCTCACACACGACCAGCTGCTCTCGATCTCCATCTCAAAATCACCCCTCCACCGACCCATTGCCGCCTCCTCGGTCGCCGCGGCGCTCGCCTTTTCCTCCTCATGCCCTTGCCCGTTGTCCAGGTCGTGGTCGTGCTCAGGGATGATCTCAAGGGGTGTGTTGGTGCATGTGGGCGTGCAAGGGTAGCGGGAGAGGCCTGCGAGCATGGTGGGCTGCCGAGGGCCACGGGCGGCAGCTCCTTTGCCTTTGCGCAGGTCGGTCGTGTCCCAGTTGCCCGTGTTCTGACAGACACATGCCCGTGTTCTGATCAGACGTGTCCCAGTGAGCCACGGTGGTGGCTTTCCTGTCCCCCTGTCCGCGTGCTTACCGAGATGAGAAAGACTGACGGCCGCTGCTCGGGTCCCACTAGGTCGACCATGTTGTCCAGCCGACCGCTGACCGCAGACGTCTTGAGGAAATTTGTGACGACGTGCCAGTCACCGCATGCATCCGTCGGGTCAGGGCGGTCGATCCTGCTGTGGATGCGCCTGTTGTCCATGCTCGCAAACTCCCAGAACCGATCGGGCTGCGAAAGTGCATGTGCTGGCACCTCCAGACCCAGGCCCATCAGACACGTGAAGCACCCCAGTCGCGGAAGGGATGAGGCACCGGATGTGGCGGGGGCTGCATGTGCATGCTTCTCGAGAGAGGATGCGGCACGTTGGGGCGCGGCGGGTGAAGGGGCGGCAGCGATGCCCTCTCGCCGGCACGTGTCGCAGCTCGGGGTGAGCAGCACCGGGCTGGGCATGCTCATGACGAGGTCGGGCTGATGCTGATGCTGGTGCTGATGGCCGTCGGCATTCGATGATGTGGGGGTGATGGGGGGCGTGCCGGCTCCTGCTGCTTTCTCGTCTCCCTTCTTGTGCATCCAGCGTCTCGTGCTGATGGCTTGTGTGGTGTACAAGGATGTGGGCCGATCCTCCCTGTTGATCATCTGGGCGATGGCCGCGGCCGCCACGGCCGTCAGGACGGAGTTGAGGGGCACCTTGCGCTGCTTGCATGTCTGGATGAGCTTCTTGGTCGTGGACGCATCAAACATGAGCGGCACCACCGACGTGTGCGCAACCTGACCATCACCACACACACCATACAGCCCAGTCAGTGAGATCTGTCCGCAGATAAGCTCATGAGCCTTTCCTTCACTCGCTGCATAGCGTTGCGAACCTCGCGCGCGTCGCCGTATTTGTGCGCGGGAAAAACGGCAGAGAAGGGGTTCTTCTTGTGAACCGCAATCTTGCGAAAGAACATGGTCAGACCCTTCCCGACGTAGAAGGCGAATCTGTCGCCCATCCGATATATGGGCACCGTCAGGGAGCCGACAAAGGTGCTCGGCATCACAGACGACACGGGGGCCGGGAGGGGCTCGTCCGTTTGGAGCGTTGTCTCGGCCCCGAGGAGGGAGTCGAGGGTGCTGCTCGAGTGGAACACCCGGCTGCCTCGACGCGCCATCGTCCGCTTGCGCGCCAGCTTGTATGCGGCGTTGAGGAAGTCTTTCCAGAATTGCTGTCGAGCCATGCCGTCCATGATAGCGTGGTGGAAGACGCCCAGCAGCCACGTGCGACACGACGGCAGGAGAACCGAGCCCTGACACACACAGAAGTAACACGGGGTGGGTGGGAGGTTGGCTCTACGTGAATGTGCGCTTCGCGTACCCGTCTCATCTTGTGCGTGGTGGGTGTGGCAGTGAGCACTCTCATCCGCCAGAGGGGCCCTGTGGTGGTGGGCAGGGCGAACAGCTGCTCGTAGCGAAGCGCTTCTTCCCAGTCACGGCACGGTGACATCTCAATGTCTGCAGCCAGCATCACACAGACAGAGAGAGAATCAACGACACGCAGGTCTGGTCTGCCGGTGCGTGTGGATTGTACCAGGTGCCTCAATGGTCTCCGCCCATATGGGCGCGATGCGCCCGCTGCTCGCGTCCAGATGTATTCTCGCCCTCAGGGCGGCGTGATGCTCCATGAGCTGCCGCCCGGCCTCACGCAGATCATCGATGTGAAAGGGCTCAGTCGTGATGACGCTCACGGCATTCTCGATGAAGAGCGGCCTCCCGATCTTTGCTCCAGCGGCATGAAGCACGTCCCAGTTGGTCTCCCTGCACAGACACAGACACACACACATGCGCACAGACAGACAGACATTCTGCACCTGATCTGTTTGTGTACGTGTGTGCGTGCGTGAGTAAGAGTGTGTACCATGAGTCGAGTTCTCGTCCGAAGCCATGCTCGTCAGGCGACTGTGGTGGCGGTGGGAGGCCGGCAGTCGACGGCAGGTGGGAGGGAAGCTTAACCTCTCCTGCGTCGACATTCGTTGGACTGTTGCAGAAGAACAGCGACTGGGCCATGGAGCGGCAGTTCCTGTTGCCAGATCTTTGTTTCTCCTCCGTGCGAGCTTGAACCTTGAAGGATCCGATTGGACGGGTCCCGTGCTATTGTGCCTTTCCGCTTCGAGTGACTGCAATCAAACCAAGGACATCAGTCAGTGCCCTTTCCCTAGCCTCTCTAGCCGCCCCTCACCGCGAACACACCGCGCCCACCGCAACTCGACGCTCGGAACAGCAATGGTGCTCGACGAGGTGTTCATCGAGAAGTGTCGTCAGGCGTTTGCGACGTTCGATGCGGACGGGTCGGGCACCATCGACAGGGACGAGATGAAGCTCCTGCTCGAAGGTCAGTCGGACTGGGAGTGGGGCCCGGAGGGGCAAAGGATGGACTGGATGGGGGATGTGTTGTGTGTGCACTGCAGCGATAGGCGAGAACCCGACCGAGGAGGAGCTGTTTCGGTTCATGAACGACATCGATGAAGACGGCACGGGGCAAATAGGTACATAGGTGGGTGCGTGTGGGGTGGGGAGGGAGGGGAGATCTGTGTGCCTATCTGCAGAGTTTGAGGAGTTTCTCAAGGCCTTTGAGAAGCAACGCTCCACCACCAGCAACGTCGAGGACGAACAGGACACTGGTGCTGTGCGCACGCAACAAGAAGGACACGGAGGAGGCCGGTGTGAGACGCTTGTGCTTTAAGTCGTGGCTGTGTGTGTGTGTGTGTGTACGCGTGTGTGTCAGTGGATGCGTGGGTAGCGTTGGGCGGCGAGGCCGACAAGTCGGGCCTCCTCGATGTCGGTGAGCCGAGGGCAGACAGACAGATCACGCTTTGTTTGTCAACTTCCCGTGTGTGTGTGTGTGTGTATATATCTCGTGCGTGTTGTGCAGACAAGTTGATCAAGATAGTGAAGGACGACTTCGCCATGACGATAGACATCGCCAAGCTGGTCAAAGAGCTTGACACAAACCAGGACGGGAAAGTCGACTACAGCGTACGCACACACATCACATCTTGTTCGCACACACCATCCATCCTCCTACCGCCACGACACGCACACCGTGTCGTCTCTATGCTCTGCTCTGCTGTGTTGTGCTGCTGGTGCCTGCCTGCAGGAGTTTGCTGTTCTTTTCTCATGAGGGAGCGAGCGGGCGATGGATAGATCGGTCGCTCTTTCTCCCTCCTCTCTCTCTCTTAGGTCTGCACAGTGAGTACTCGTGTGTGCATTCTAGCTTGCTTGCTTATGGGGGGAGTGAGAATGCGACTATACCCCATCCATCCATCCATCCATCGTTCCATCCCACATACATATGTCCATCAGCCAGTGTGAGACTGGACTGAACGATGAATTACACTTGACGAAAACACCCTCCAACACACAGACACATAGAGAGTGATGCCAATCCGTCCATCGTCCATCCGTCCATCCATTCCAATCACAACCACGCAAAGGCATGCACACCAACAGCACGCCACCGCGCCACCCACCCACCGCGCGACAGTCTCCACACATGAATGAAAACACCTGGCCTGCATCTCATCCTAACCTACAGACAGCTACGCCTCTCCCTGAGGCAGTGTCGTCTACGTGTGTGTCTTTCTCGCCACACTATACCTTCGTATGTGCGGCAATCCATCCATCCATCAGGCATTCCACAGGCAGACAGGGAGCCAGGCGGGTGGGCACTCAAAAATCGGCGTGGGCATCTCATCGACCGACTGACTGACCGGCAGGCAGGGAGGGAGGGAGGTGTGGTTCGCCCGCCATGGAGGGCGCGGAAGGGACCCTCTCCATGTGTGAGATGTGCATTTACGCACACGACACGGACACTCGGGCAATGCAATGGACGGAAAAAGTAATTACAATACACGGCATCGCATCCAGCCACTCGCACCCATCCCTCCCCCCATCCCGCCAAAACCGAAACCAACACAGCCCGGCCCGGCCGCACAGTTAAAACATTCAGCAAACATCCAATCCAGCCCACATGCAGACTTGCCACCCTCCCTCCCTTTCTCCCTCCCTCAGTCGCCATTCTGCTTGACCAGGTAGCTGCACGCCAGATGCATGGGCTCCATCGGCGCTAGCATGGCCACGTTGCCCCGCTCGTCCACGTGACGCAGCCCCGCCGACGTCAGCACGTCACCAGGGAACGTGACGATGAAGTTGACGGGACCGCTGTGCGTCCGCTTCCTGGGCGCCCCGTAGACCTGCACCGTGTTGGAAGGATCCGACCCGTCCCCATTGGCCACCACGACCACCCTATCGCGCCCCCTCGTGTCGTTGCCCCTCTCGCGCGGCTGCGGACCGCACTGCTTGCTGCTCGTCAGCGAAGCCCCCTCCTTGTTCTTGATGTTGCTGCTGTTGGGGACGAGGTGCTTGAGAACGGAGTTTTGCGCCAGCATGTCGAGCATGGTCTCATGATCTCTGGTGGCGTTGGTGCCCCGGAGACGGAGGGGGTGGGTGGTGTTGGCGGCTGTGTGTGTGGTGGTCTCGGTGGTTTCGGTGTCCTCGACTGTTGGCTCTTGCTGTGTGGATGTGGATGTGTGTGTGGGTGGTGAGGGGGCTGCGGGTGTGGGGAGTGCGGGCGGGGCGGCTGGCTTGCCGCCGTCGGTGAGGAGGGCGTGCAGGTTGTGGTCGCCGATGACGAAGTGCGGGTTGACGCACACAAGCCTGCACCCGGTGAAACACAACACAACACAAGCACCATTTTGCCAATGGCATTCCCGCGAGTCCGTGGATCTGTCCTGCCTGCCTGCCTGCCTGCCTCCCTGTCTCTCTGTCCGCCTGCCTGACCTGTATGGCATGTGGCTGGGTTCGTCGTGGCCGTCCCCTTGTTCCTGCTCCCCGGCGCCCTCCCCCGCCTGCGACTCAAGCATCAGCCGTCGCACCAGCTCCTCGGCCTCCTCGCGTGTGTCGTGGACCGGACCACCACCACCCGAGGCCCCACCGATGACATTGACGGCTGGGTCGCCCTTTGCCGCACCTGTCTGCTGCCACAGCTGGACGGCGTGGCCATCCGGGTTCTGCAACGCAACACCAACAATGAGATAGATGAAAGGGACGTGTGTGGGTGTGATTGGTCAGTCAGCTTACGTATACGATGAGTTCCTTCTGGTTCGGTGGCTCAGGCAGGGACATGAGCACGCGGCCGTTGTTGGACCACGGCAGCCTGCCCGGCGTGTAGCGCGTCATCGGCGCACTCGTGAACGAATACGAAGGGCCCATAGGCTGCGCACACAAACGCCCAGTCCACACACAGTTAAGTCTCAGAGAGAGACCCTCTCTCCCCTCGGCCATCCCTCCCTCCCTCCCCTCTGTGCTGTGGCCTCACCGTACCGTGAGCACTCCAGTGAGCGACACCAAGCAGATCCCAAAAATGAGCACTCCCAGCACCCCAATCCACCCATAGAACCGCGCACCACTCGCCGACGACCGGTCGCTCGACGGCGACCCACCAGTACTGGTGCTGCCCCACCACCCGTCCCACAGTGACGCGCTGTCCGACGGCCCGTCCGATGGGCTGTCGAGGCTCGGCGGCCCGCCACACACCGGCATGTCCTCGTCGATGCCTTGTGGGGTGAGTGGGGGTAGGGACGGGGGCGGGGGGAGGTCGGTGTACTGCGCCTCCCAATGGCTAAGCCGCGAGCGCAAGGTGTTGTTCTCGCTGACCAGCTGGTCGCGATGCGCGGCGATGGCGGTGTTCTCGGCACGGAGGGCCACGTTCTCTCTGTGTGTTGCAATGGGGGAAACAGAGAGAGAGACGGAGTGCCGACACAGACAGCGTGGGAGGGTGGCATGGCGTCGTGTGTGGTCGGTCGCCCACCTCCTAAGGTCGGCGTTCTCGGTTGTGAGCGTATCCACCTGTAGGCTGAGCCCCTCAAACTCCTTCTTCTTGCGGTCCCGGCTCTGCTGCGCAGATATCCTGTTCCTAAGCCGCTGCTGTTCCTTCTTGTCCAGATGCGAACAGTCCACCGGACCATCAGCCTTGCGCTTCTGTCCCCCACCACCACCACCACAGCCTCCTCCTCCCTTCCTCGCTCCAGACGCACACGACGCAGACACGGGCGCCGACGCCGACACAGCGCCACCACCGCCAGCACCGCCAACCGGGTACCCCATCACATGAGCAGACTGCTCAGGGATGGGAGGGAACGGCGCCGAGCAGTAAGACTGTGTGGGTGACGACCCGTCGGTTGTGGATGCAGTCGACTTCGGCAGGGGTGACTGTGGAGCCGCGTAGGCCGCATAGGGAGCTGGGATGAAGGCCGCCGGTGCGGGAACCTGACCGAACGCATCAGTGGGAGGGAAGAGGGGCGGTTCGAGGGTGGGAGGGGTGTATAAGGGGGGTGGGTGGTGGTCCCTCAGCGGGCCGATGGGGTCGAACGTGTCGTAGCTATCCTCCTCTTCCATGCTGAGCCTCTCGAGCGTGGACGAAAGAAAATCACCTCAGCCAGACGTGGCCAAAGCCGCGAAAACTACTACTCAGAGCGCTGGGTGTACATGACAACCAGCTTCTCTCACCTTCTCTCTCGGCGCGTTTTGCCTCTCCCTCCTTCCACGTCACTTGTGTGTAGGGCGCCCCGTTTTACGGCCACTCGCTTCCAGCAGCGCTTTGCTTTCCTCTGAACACGCCGCCAAGGTCGTGAGAGCGCCTGCTTCGCCTCCCTTTGCTGCCTGGCGTGTTTGCAGCCGTCGACGACAAAAACGCCTTCGGCCGTTACTGTGCCGACAGCCACAAATAAAAGCGCCTCGCTTTTCGGGCTGTCCCGCACGTGTTCGCCGTCTGCTGAGGACCTCCCCGTGTTTTGCCGCAGCCTCGAGCCAAGATGGGCGACACGAAAGGCCTTTCCGTCAGCGTGCGGCTTCCCAAGGAGGTGCACCTGTCCGAGCGCGATATGTGCGACCTTGAGATGCTGCTGATGGGCGCCTTCGCGCCGCTCAAGGGCTACCTGACGCGGGACAACTACCTCAGCTGCCTCAGCAAGATGCGCCTCACGACCGGCGAGGTGTGGCCGATGCCCATCGTGCTGTCGGTGCCCAAGGCGGCCACGGAGCCCGCGGGCGAGAGCAAGGGCCAGAGGGTGCTGCTGCGCGACCAGCTGGGGCGTGCCGTGGCTGAGGTGCTGGTGGAGGACGTGTACGAGCCCGACCTCAACCTCGAGATGGAGAAGGTCGGTGGGAGGGTGGCAGACAGACAGACAGACCGACAGACAGGCGGGGGGAGAGAGAGGGAGGGGGGGAAGCACTGCCTGAGCTCTGACACACCCGACACAAGACGCAAGGCAACGGAACGCTCACCGTACCGTCTTCTTTTGTCTCTTGTGTGTTGTGTGTTGTGTCTTGTGTTTGTCCACAGGTGTTGGGCAGCACTGACATGAACCACCCGTACGCGCAGCACATGGCCAAGACCTTCACGGACTGCTACTACATCGGCGGTGAGGTGCGGCAGCTCAACCCCATCAGCCGCTTCGACTTCAAGGACATGCGCCGACCCGCACCCGAGGTCAAGCAGTACATCAAGCAGCAGGGCTGGGAGTGCGTCGTCGGCTTCCAGACACGCAACCCCATGCACAGATCGCACTTCGAGCTCACGCGGCAGGTCTGTCTGTCAGAGTCAGATAGAGCGGTGGGTGTGTTGACGTGTCTGTGCTGTGGGATGTGTGTGCAGGCGATGCGTGAGGCCCAGGCACAGACGGGCAAGGAGGCTCACCTCCTGCTGACGCCCGCCGTGGGCCCCACACAGCCTGGCGACGTCGAGTACCACATCCGTGTGCGGTAAGGCAGCAAACACAACACAAACCGACACGAAATGGGTGGTTGGTACACACACATCGTGTTGTGCGCCATCCGTCTGTCTGGAATAGTTGCTACAAGAAGTTGCTCAAGTACTACGGCGAGAACAAGGCCGACATCATCCTGCTGCCGCTGGCCATGCGCATGGCCGGCCCGCGCGAGGCTGTCTGGCACGCCATCATCCGGGCCAACTACGGCTGCACCCACTTCATCGTCGGACGCGACCATGCCGGTGAGTGTGCGGAATGAGGCCGAGACAATAAATACCCACTGTTTGCCAGAGATGTGGCGGTCGGTGCGTGTGTGGTGCAGGTCCCTCTGCCAAGAAAGCTGACGGCTCATCCTTCTACGGCGCTTACGAGGCACACGAGCTGCTCGCGTCCGTCCAGGTACCACACACATCGACAAACACGCCACCCATGAGCACCCGCCAAATACGCCTTCTTTGTATGTGTGTGTGTGTGTGTGGTGTGTGTGTGGTGTGTGTGTGTGTGTGTCAGTCTGAGTTGGGCATCGAGCCGATCTTCGGCAAGGAGATGGTGTACGTGGGCGAGGAGCACGGCGGCTACGTCCAGCGGTCCCAGGTGCCCGAGGGCGTCGAGCCGCAGAGCATCTCCGGCACGCAGCAGCGAAAGATGCTGCTGGTACGTTTGCCAGTCCCCCCCAAATACACACCCACGGAGAGAGAGGAGTGTGGTGTGGTGTTCGTTCGTGCAGACGCGCGAGCCCATCCCCGAGTGGTTCTCGTACCCCGACGTGGTTGAGGAGCTGCACAAGTTCTACAAGCCGCCGCACGAGAAGGGCTTCTGCATGTACTTCACCGGCCTCCCGTGCTCGGGCAAGACCACCCTCGCCACCGCCCTCGAGCAGGCCCTCCTGGTGCGAGAGAAGGGAAACAAAGCACCATGCACCATCTCCCTCCCTGTGTGTGTGCAGGAGAATGAGAGTGAGACCCGCAAGGTGACGATCCTGGACGCGCCCATCATCCGGTCGCACCTGTCCTACGGGCTGGGCTTCTCGAAGCAGGACCGCAGCACCAACGTCAAGCGCATCGGGTTCGTGGCGAGCGAGATCGTCAAGCACGGCGGCATCTGCCTCGTCGCCACCATCGCACCCTACGAGGACGACAGACAGTACAACCGCAAACTCATCACCAGGTAGAGACGTGTGGGCGGGGGGAGGTGGCTTGGGAGTTTATTGATGTGTGTGTGTGTGTGTGGTGTGTGTGTGGCTCGTGGCTGACCGATTGGATTGCAGCAATGGCGGCGGGTACGTCGAGGTGTATGTCAGCACCCCCATCGAGGTCTGCGAGGGGAGGGACTCAAAGGTAGCCATCTCCTCACACACGCACCAAGAGACAGAGAGGCGGACAGAGAAGGGATGGTTGGATGGATGGATGGACTCGCAATGCTGGCTGGCATCGCTGCGTGTGTGTGCAATGTGTCAGGGTCTCTACAAGCAGGCCCGCTCTGGCGTCATCCAGCAGGTAGACAGACACGCCGCCCACTCATCCACCCACGTCAAGATGCGTCACTTTGTTCATCTCGGTGTTTCTCTCCATCAGTTTACTGGCGTCTCTGACCCGTACGAGGCCCCCACCACCCCCGACCTCACCATCGACAGCAGCAAGAACCTCCCCCAGGTCGTCGACCAGGTGAGTGCGTCTGGTTGGTCAGGGATGGATGGATGGATGGAGGCACCATCGATTGGAGCATCCCTCCCCTCTCTCCTGGTGTGTGCTGCAGCTGGTGTCTTACCTGAAGGAGGCCGGATGGGTCAAGGCCTGAGCAAACGCATGCCACACACACACACACACAGCTGGCCGAGGAGAAGGGATGTGGCAGCAGAGGGGAGCGACAGACAGACCAACAGTAGGGATGACAATGAATGAGGCTGTTTCATGCCAGCAGCATTAGCAGGTTCGCTGGGGGTGAGAGCGGGGACTCGTCGACACATCCACAGTCACGTGACTCGACCCTTTATGGGAATTTCTTTTCTGATTCCGTCATGTGATGTGGTGTCGTGTGTGCATGTGTGTGTGCCATGGCATGCATCAGGCAGGCAGGCAGACATTGGTAGGGCCGATTTGTATGGTTTCACATCTGTCTGTCGTATGTTCGTATCTATCGTACCTACCTATGTTGGCATGATTTTCCTAGCGGGCCGAAAGACGCCAATTTTCTTTACTTCCACTCATTGGTATATCGCTATCTGCACATGCCGATCGCTGTGCCGTGAGTGACCGCATACGTGAGTGCGCCAGCCACTGAATGGATGGATGGATGGGCGCAGAGTGCATTTCGACTGCCTGCCTGCATGGGAGAGGGAGACAAGCGCAGGGGGAGAGGGCGGAGAGAGAGACATCAATGCAATCAATGCCACGCATGTCTGTCTGTCATGTCGGTAGGTATGAGTGTGATGTCGGTAGGCATGAGTGTGAGTGTGCTACGTACGGTAAGATATATACATGTGATCATTCATGTGATGAGAGAGATGTGATGTCTGTCGTGTAGATAGATATGTCGTGTGTCTATGTAGGTATGTATGTAGACAGAGGAGATGGATGAGAAGTGACGTGACATGTTGTCTGTCGAGTCGATGCGCCATGTGCGAGATTGGAGTGCCATTGGATGGATGGATGGATGGATGAGTAACTCCTTCCTGTGTGTATGGTGGTGGGCGGTTTGTCTGCATCCATCCCATCCCATCCCATCCATGTGTATGGCCGTCGTATAGTCTGGTCTGGTGTGGCGGTTGGGTGGCCCAGAGACAGACAGACAGACGACGGGCGTGACATTCAGACATCTAGACAAAAAGGCTGATGGGAATAAAGAGAAATTAGATGTGTAAGTATCAGTCTGCGCAACACGTAGGCCAGATTTGTTCACCACACGGCTTCAACAGCCGCTGCACGTAACTGCTCGCACACTAACTGCATGGACTGGTCCCCTGGATGTCTCTTGCACTGCACACAAGGCAATCAAAGCTCTCTCGCGAAACATGCAACTCATGCAACTCATGCAGCCTCCTTACTCACCCAGTCGCCTCTGCTGTAGCTCATCGGCTTGCGGTGACCCGTCAAAAAAACATGATGGGGGGAAAGCCGGTTCACCGAGATGCGGAAGCCGGAGACGGTGCCGCTGGGACAGAGCGCCTCCATCTGCTCTGCGAAGTGCTCTTCATTGCCGAAAATCTGAATCGTCAGCTCGTGTAGGCCGCGAAGGTTGAGGCACGATGCAAGGCTCCGGTGGACAAACGAAGCGGCATTGACTTGATAATACGGCACTTGACAATACGGCACTTGACACACACAAGGAAACGTGAGGGAGAGAATACATCCGTCAGAGTGGACACCATACTGTGTGCTCACTCCCCACCGCTCAGGCGGACTGTCATGTCTCTGATGGTTGGCATGGCCTCAGCGCTATCGCCCCACAACAGCCCCTCTCCCTTGCCCCTGACATTCACGGCCGCCCTCTCGATCGTCCCCTCTCCGCCCATCGCTCTCAGAAGCCCCGCCCATCGCTCTCAGAAGCCCCAGCACGTCACTGGCAGGCACCACTCGCTCAGAATAGAGTGTCCGCACGTTCTTAATATTGCCCGTCGCCACCAGTTGCCGCGCGGCCGCATGGCCAAATGGTCCTGTGGGATTCAGATCGGTCAGCGTGTCGGGGAACGCCTCAGCCGACAGGTGGGTGATGGGCGACCACACAGGCGAGGAAGCAGCGGGCAGTGTGAAATACGTGTCTAAAGTCGTCGTTGGCGTGGCTACGCTGATGGAGCTGGCTTGAGGGAACCGCAGTTTGGCGGCGAGTTCCTTGGCGTCGTCGCTGATTTCCACCGGAGCGGTGAAGTAGGCCTCAGAAGAGTGCCACGTGATCGACCCGGCGGTCGTGGCGAGGTAGCACAGTGTCTCTCGGACGAAGGGCGATGAGAGGGAGGGGGCAGGGCACTCGTGGAGAAGCGACAAGCTAAATCCAGACACTCTTTGGTGTATGGCGGCCACGGTGAAGCTCGCTGTGGGTGATGCCGCACCCGAGGTCCTGAGCCCGTCAATAGCGGTTAGAACACCGACCATTTCTGGGCTGACAATGACAGAACTTTTGACGATGAAGCTGACCGACTCGAGCGACTTGCAGCCACCAGAGGCGAGGGTAGCCTGAAGGGACGCAATTCACCGCCCCATCCGCTTATTGGGATACTGCTTTCTTTCGCATCTACCTGCAGGTGAAGCAGGTTGTCTCTCTCGGCAGTAGTGCCCCCCGACTAGCACAGTGCCGATGTGCTTCAAGTGCGCCAGCCGCCCTCCCTTCAGCAGCGCCAGCCAGTCTCGCGGTCCGAATATGCCGAGATCCAGGCTCTCCAGACAGTGCGATGTCTTGATGAAGCCGCATGGGAACACGCGCCCAATCGGGTGGCCTCGTACGTGCCGCAGCGATGGCATCTGCCACTTGTGGTTGTCGATCAAGTCGCAGACGTGAGGGCGAAGGCCGCTCAGAGTCGTCAGCGAATGAAGTAGGGGAGGTGGCGAGGAGGGGACTGAAGTGTTGGCTGCAGCACGAGAGGGCAGTCGGTTTGCCGAGCGCCCACCACGAAAGCTCTTCGACGGGGTGAAGCTGATGGACTCCAGCGTCCCCTCCTCTTTGGGTGGCTGTCTGCCTCCTCTTTCCGCCTCCCGCCGCTTCGCCTCGTGCAGCTCGCTGCGGCTCTTGGCGTGGCCGTCGACCATCGTGACCATCACGTCGCAACACCAGCCGTCGTGGAATGGCGGATGGAGGATGACCATTGTCTTGAGATGTGGCATGCGCGTGCCCCACTCGAAGGCCACGGCCAGCGGCATCCGCTCCCACATGTGGCGGATCGACGGCTTTGAGCTGTCGATGACGATGTCCGTGTACTGCTTGGCGCCTGCAGGAAGACCTTGTTGTCGATGCCTGTTCGGAAGCAGCTGAGGTCCCACAGCTGCATGTGGCCGAAGAGATGCGACAGCTCCTCTCGTGACATGCGCAGGGCGGCGGGGCCCTGGTTGGTGGGCTGCTTGCCGCTGACGTACACCAGGCGGAACGTGGCGCCGTCCTGACACACAAAGCACATGAATGCGAGGCAATTACCTTAAGTGCTTCCTGTTTGGCTCACTTCTGCCATGATGCGACGGTGGATCTGACTCGAGTGGGGATCACACAGCAACGCAGCGAGGCAGCCAGGGACAGATGGACGCTTTTTTTTTCAAAGGTTGCCTTCAAGCTCGCATTGGAGCTTCGCGTCTGCTCAGTGGTTTTGTGTAGCGTGTCGACGGCTGATCTGGCTGCGAGAGAGGTGCCTGGACCTGTAGCTGTCGATTGCAACCATCAGCACTCATTCCATCTCTGGCCGCAGCCTCTCTCTCGCCACGTCAGCGCCGCATCAGCCATGAAGACCTCGTCGTCCATCAGCAAGGACACGGCAGACGCCAGCAGCAAGCCAGCAGCTGCAGACAAGATTAGCAGCCGGCCGCTGCTGCTCAACGTGGGCGGCACACTCATGGCGTTCCCGCGTGATGTGCTGCGTCGGGATGGCCTCGAGGACACCTGCCTGGCGGTGCTGCTGAACCGTTTCGATAGCTGGATGATTAGAGATGCCGACGGCATTCACTTCATCGACGCAGACCCATTCTCCTTCACCTGGTGAGAGGGGAGGGGAGGGAAGCAAGCACCGCTGCTCACGGTTGGTTCTCCCATCTCTGTGTGTGTCTGCGGTGTCAGGTTGGCTGTGAAGCTGCGTTACCTCCAAGACGTCCGCATCGCCGTGACGGAGATCACTGACGGCTGCCCCTCGTTGGCCTTCTACCACGACCGCTTCATGGCCCACACCGACCTGAGCATCGACGCCCAGCCCGGCGATGAGAACAGTGAGGCCTTCCGCGGCTTCATGGCCGTCATGGGCCCCTTCATCGACACATCGGCGGGCGGCACGGGCGGCAGGGAGGTCCTCAGCGTGACTGTGGATGATGGCAGTGTGGTGGCTACCACCGACGCCACGCTGGCCGACTACAACATACTCTACGACCGATTCACCAAGTGGGAAGGGACGCAAGCAAAGCAGAAGTCACATGGTCGATGCACCTCACCTCGGACCCATTTTGTCCGTGTGCAGGTACAGAGGGCCTGTCGTCGATGTGTCTGCAGCCGACTTCCACAAGTAACACGACCACAGCCAGATGGCAGCCTGGCACTTATGTGTGGTGCTGTGGTCTGCAGGGTGGTGGATTACCTTCGCCGCATTCGGTTGGCCCCCGGTGCCGTCACGCCGTTGCCGATGGGCGGGGATTGATCCCTCCTCCCCTTGAGCCTGTTTGACTCTGCGTGCTGATGGGACTGTATTTGTATGAGTATCACGGACACACAGACTTGTTCACCTTGGATTTGTGCCGCCGTTGCCGATGAGCACATCGCCTGGCGAGCTGCTGTATGCGTGTGAGATGTACGGCCTCATGGAGCGGGTGTACCTCTCGATGATCGGCAAACCCCACAGCCACATCAAATGCCTCTTCAAGTGAGTCGGGAAGACCACGCACAGCGGATGGGCGGCGGGAAGGTGATGGTCTCTTTTGTGTGTGTTTCTCTTGTCCGTCAGGGCTTCACACGACGGCGATGAGTTTGAGGCGATGATGGATGGTGTGGCGGGTGCGCAGGGCGGCCTGCTGTTCGTCATCGAGGACGACAAACACCACAACCGCTTCGCATGCCACTTGGAGGGGCCCCTCATCCCACCCACTGACCCCACATCAGTGCTGACCACCGGCTGCCCCGTGGCCTTCTACTCCATCAGCGGTGCGTTCAAGGAGGAGGGCATCACCAAGATCACCGTGCCCCACCACAACCAGCGTGTGGTGGTCGCCGGCGCTCAGGAGGCGGTGAGGGCTGTTGGCGACAGGCGCTTAGGCAAGGTGTCCATCGGTGGCGGTCGGCTGTGGGTGGGGGTCGAGAGGCGTGGGACAGCTGGCGATCTTCGCCGCTGCTGCCAGTGGCTGACGAGGGGTGACCTGCCGGCCGACAAGACGTATGTGGGTAGCTTCGACGGGCCACATTGGCGGGACGTCACATTGGCGGCCAGTCCATGGTTCACGTGTGCGGATTTGGAGGTCTACAAATTAGAACAAGCGGTGAATTGTGATGTTCACCCCTTCCCTCCTGTTGTGTGTATGTCTGTGTCTATGTGTGTGTCTCTGTGTGCGTGTGTATGGTTGCAGGTGCCGTACAGTTGGCTGTGGCTGAGCGCGGCGGCGTCGCTGATGGAGGGCAGATAGGGGGCCATGACCGCACTGTAGATGAGAGCCAGGGGCCAGGGAGAGAGCCCAGTGCCTCAAGCATGTTTGAGGGGGTAGATATCGACCCACCCACTCACTTATGTGTCGATATAGTCCACACTGTGTGTAGCTCGCGATGAGTGCCATCGTGAGAGTGGCCAATGCGATGCGTCCGTTGCGTCTAGCTGGCCGGCCGGCCGACGTGGATGACTCAATGATATTCATCCCCTCAGGCACCTGAGTAGCCGCATCTGTCTCTGTCCCTCTTTGTGTATACGTGTGTGTGCTCTTTATGCACCTCCCTCTCTCTGTGTGTGGTGTGTGGTGCATCCAATGCTCGGCTGCATGGACTTGCTTCATGTGGGTGCATGTGTACAGCTACTCCTGTGATGCCTCAAGCACACTGCATCCACAGTGGATGGCACCGAGTGAGTCAATCGACCGACCACACGTGAACGGACGCAGAGAGAGAGCCAAACACATCGAGCCAGGCCAGGCAGCTGCACTTATTCGATCGTCGATATGCACATAAGATATGGCCATCGTCCGTCTGTTCATCTCGTCATATCCACACTGGCTGGCCTTCATCCTCTTCTCCCTGCCTCTCTCTTCTTCGCCTTCAGCAGCACCACTGCACTGTCACTCTCCCCGCACGATGATAAGGTACACTCATCAGCACCAGCAGCGACAGCAGTATCACCACTGGCATGCCCTTCAGCCGCCTCCACACACACACGGTCCACAGCGAATCCCTCCTCGAGCCGAGCAATGAAGTTATCAACGCCTGACATAACACAACACAACACACACGTCTGTCTGTTTGCCTGTCTGCCTGTCTGTTTGCCTTTGCTTTGCTCACCATCGTTGTTTCGCCTCTCGACAGCGATCCACACCTCTGTCAGCGGCCCAGCCAGCTCGTCAATGGCCTCAGACAAATCCCGCCAGCTATCGCCATAAAGCGGCTCGTAAACACAGTCACAAGACAATATCATGTCGAAGCCACCACCAGCATCAGCTGCTGGCTGTCTGGGAATCCATTCGAGCTGGTCATTGGCCATTTTGTCTTTGAGCTCCTTCGCCGCTTGCCGGGACCTGCTGATGGTCCGTGAGAGCGTACACATTCACGTAACCATGCAAACAGACCATCTCACCAGCGCAGGGGATGCACACACACGGAGCCTCGCCCGTCGTCTTCTCCGTCAATCGACAATGCGTCTTCACCTGACCACACAGACACACAAGAGGATTGGATAGATTGTCGGCTTCACAGACACAGAGTGGTTGTGCTCACCGACGGACCGACCGGTCATGTTTCTCCTTGCGTTTCGTTCGATGAGCCTCTGGAGGTCTTCCGTATCGCTCAGCACCACATCAGCCCCACAACGCGCCAGCAACATGCCCGGCACACCACTGAACGAACCAAACATCCAGCACAGCAATGCAATGGCCGTCTGTCTGTCTGTCTGTTCTATGGTCGATCGGCTTACGGGCCGCATCCCAGTTCGATGACTCGCCTGCCCCTGACGTCCTGCTGGAGGACACTCCGCATCAAGTGCTCGGCGAGGACAAGCGATGACCGCCATATCCGTGTGCCAGCCCTGCGCCGACACGTACACAGAGGGGTGAGCGTCAGCTGCGGGTGAGGACTCTATCGCTGTGTTTGTGTGAGTACAGCAGGTTCATGAAACAGACGGTGGACAACCAGTTGGAGCCGCTGAACAGAGGCGCCAAGTCGTCAGGCTCCTGAAGGAGAATCAGACAAAAAAAAGAGAATCAATGAAGAGAATCCATGACGTTCAATGCCTGGCCGACTGACCATCAACAGATCAAAGGTCATTGTGTGCAGACAGGTCCTCTCGCCCTTCTCCCCTCTCGACACCCACACAGACACACTCGCACGGTCCTGTGAGTTCACACGACAGCATCAACAAGCAGATCTGACCTTTCTGTTCATCCATTGATGCAGATCTTTTCACCTCGCATATCGGCTTGTTGTCCGCCGTCGTCAGATAGTGCCGGTCGCACACCAATTCCACCTTCATGCTTCGCTTCTCCGGAGAATTTTGACGTATCGAACCCTGTAAACCAAACCCTGCACTCACCGGCGCGAGAGCGGCTGGTTGTTAGTTTATGAGCGGCGTGGCATCCTCCCTCCCATTGGCCTTTCTGGACCACAGCAGAATGGATCTTGAACAGGTGAGGCGATGGGCCGCTCATGAGCAGATGCACCACGGATGACATGCATGCCATCCAGCAGAGAGACCCCACACACAAGCGAGAAGCTTTCACCCGACAGCCGGCCTGCATCACCAAATTTGAAGGGGTGCTCTCCTGCTTTCATGGTCTTGCTCTGGTGCGCTGCATGCTGCAGGTGCGGAGAGCCCTCGAGCAGCTTCGGGGCAATGTAGGCCGGACACACAGAAAGGAATGATGACCTAGTACTCATTCCATGTGGATGGTTTGGTTGTCTGCAGGTGGGCTCGGGCCTCTTTCAGTCTGGCCGCCTCGATGACGCCGCGACTGTCATAACACAGGTGGGCTCTCATGACACGGCCGCACTTATTTGTTGTGTCCTGTCTGTCTGTGTGTGTGTCGTTCAGCTGAGGGACGATGCCCGTTCACTGGACAGCAGCATTAGTCAGCTGAACGGCATATTAGCAGAGGTGATCTACCGCCTGACCAACGGAGAAATGATTCTTCCCCGGCCATGCTGCCAATGGGTGTTTTCAGATTGGCAGCGCGCCGTCGTGCTTCCAGCAGCTGGAGTCATCGCACATCACATCGGACGTGAACCCCACAGCAGCAGATGCGCGCTTGAGTAACGCGTCGGTACGTCCGTGTGCCTTGTGTGTGGTGTGTGTGCAGGCGTCATTGCGTGCGGCGCGCGATGTGGGTGAGCAGATGACTTTGATGGCCTCACACGTCGCGGCCATGACCACACAGCTCTCGCTGCTGAAGATCCCGCTCGACCGCGCCGCGGCGGCAGCTCTCGCCACCAGCGCGCCATCAGGAGCATATGGCACATGCCACTACCACCAGCATCAGCACGGCAGCGGCGTGTTTCCCGCCCCAGCATACACAGAGGTGGGTCGGTGGGATGGCACACGTGGAGATAGGCAAGGCGACCCAATACAAAGGCCTCTCTGTTGTATGTCGGTGTTTCAGGATGGGCAGCCGACGTCTTGTGTTCGGCCATATCGCATCATATACAGAAGCGGCAACCCCGAGCCAAACGATGGACCGGTACGCGATCCATGCACAACGCAGAGCGGGATGGGAAGGTTGCCAAGCTCTGTCCCTCTGTGTGTCTTTTTTGCTCATTTAGGCTGTGCACCGTCTGTCGCGCGACAACCACGTGTGCATCTTGAGCTACTTCCACCCCTGGGAGTTCTCGCGCATGCGGCCGGCCATCGGCTCCACCTTTGAGATCGATGCTGCCAATCAGTACACTCAGCTGACCGTCGACTGCTCCGACGAGAAGACCCAGCGCATGTGGGAGAACCTGCCGTGCGACGTGGCCTATCGGTGGGGCCAGAGGGCCCGCAACATCAGGCAGCTGACGGTCCGTCACCCATATCGGTCCACCCAGGAACAGTGGTGTGTATCGACATGGGTGTCTTTAGTCGAAGGCCATGCACACGGGCATCCGAGCGGCCAGCAGCAACAGGCCAGCAGTGCGTCGTCATCGCCACTCGCTACCCCGCCCCTCTCCCGGCCCCCCTTCACACGCCACCCTGGAAAAGATCCGATTCGAGGAGGTCCAGTATGGCATGTCAGGACACTCGCACGTGGACTATGACGAGCGTCAGCTCCCTCCCCCCTCCGCCCCCGTCCACCTGCCGGCACTCACCACCGTCACCCGCATCCCGGCCCAACACGCGTGGGGGAGGGCCGGTCGGTTGTGGGTGACGCCCAATGTCACCACACTCACATTCGAGGGCTGGCTTGGGGCCCAAGAGAATGAGTATGATGGGGCTCGGGAGCGGATCGGCGACTGCCGTCGGCTGGAGACGCTCGAGTATGACACGTTCGGCCACGCCGAAGACAACGAGCGGCTGCTGACAGCGATCCCGGAGGGGCAGGGCCTGGCGGGCCTGCGGTCCGTCGGCCGTGTGAGAATAGAGGATAACATAGGTATTGACGCGAGGTGGGATGCGGCAGGAGTGGACGAGTTTCGCCAGCTGTTGGTGCGGCGGGGGTGTGTGAGGAGCCTTCGGGAGATGACGCTTGACGTAGGGGAGTATTTGGAGGACACCGCCGAGATGCGGCAGCTGATCGAAAACGCAGTAAAGCTCATGTAGGGATAACATACAAGAAGAGACGAACCGGGCCAACAATACAGACACGTGGCCTCTCTCGGTTTTGCCCTTTCCTGCCCGCTCTCTTTCAGTGACGCCGCGATGCATCCTGATGCCCGCAGTCAGCCGATCATGCCGTGCATTCGATCTGGCAATCGCGAGGACGGCCAGATCGACCTTCAGCTGCTCGCATGGAGCCACCGGCACCGCTCCCCGATGGTCCAGAAGCTCGTGAACGACTTCGCCAAAGGGGTGCGCAATGTGGTGTTCAATGAGCGGCCCCGCCCCTCCCATGCCAATCCCGTGACCCCCGCGACATTCCCCCATGCCACCACCCTCATTCTGCCCATACGCTTCCCCCGACACAAGCAGGTCGACAGGGCTGTGGAGGTGGCCGTCAACATGCCCAGACTGGAGCGTGTCGAGTGTGGCGGCTCTTGCTCGGCCTTTTTGAAGGCTTTGCACGCTGCCGCACCGGAGAAGAAGCTCCGCAGCGTGGCGCTCAACTTGACGGCTGAGAGACTCGTCATTAGCAACTGGGACAGAGAGTGGGATGAGGCCGAGACGAGGACTTCTCTGCCAGAGATCGAGCTGATGGAGCTCGGTTTGGAAGGTAGGTGGGTCGGTGGGTGAGGAGACGAAACGTCAAGGACTAGCTCCTTAGTGTGCCTGCTTCTGGGTTGTGCAGGTGAGTTGGTTGGCGATTCTCAGCTGGACGAGCTCCATGGCAAAGTGCTGACCCTGCTGCTTGCTTTCAGCAAGCTCAAGGTACGAAGCGAGAGTCAAGAAGCCGTTGCCTGCGGCCCATTGCCTGTTTGGCTGTGTCTGTTGCTCATGCAGGGGGTCAAGCGGAGCCGCCTCGCCTTCAGATCGCCCGTGCTGTGTACAAGTTCAAGCACAGGTTCGCCTCCCAGCACATCCTGTCCGGCCTCTCCAGCACCGAGTATCGGCTGGAGTGGGTCGAGGTGGGCAAACGGCCCTGCAACACCAGCCTGCAACTCGAGCTCAGGCGGCTGCAATGAACGACTCATGGGTTTGCTTTGCCGTGACTGACGATGCATAGGATCTGTGTGTGTGTGCATGCCTTGCTGCTGCTGGTGAGAGCCTAGTGGCGGGCGGCGTGCATGTGAATGGGCAGCTTGACGCACTGTATGCTGCTGCTGATGTATATATATACGGGTGAATGAAGGTGTCCATGCCATGGAGAAGTCAGTAATTCACCTCGCCTCGCCCACCCGGAGTCGTTGACTTAGTGTCGTCAGGTGCACACAACACACGGGGGCCATTCATTTATTCCCTTTGATTTGATAAAGAACACTATGTATACGCCGGCCGTACGCAATACGCACCCACCCATGCGATCGGTCCGTCGGTCGGTCCACCAGCAGCCACGACTTAACTCACTGTCCTGCGTACTCTACACACAAATACGCACACCTCTCAGAATACACACCACAGTACATTCATTCGCTGTTATACACCCTTTCTCCCTCCCATTCAGCCAGCCAGCCAGCCATGCACACAGCACAGACACACAGACAGACACCGTCGCATCCATCACCTCTAAGCTACGTCCGTCTCAACGTCACGTCCATTGATCCCCACGTGGCACTAGCAAGAACTACTAGCTACGGTCAGTCTATTTGGAATACTACGTCAGTCCGGCATTCATTCATTCATTCATTCACACGTACAGTTGTGTGTCTGCCGCGTCGGTCCGGCAGACACACAGCTGTACGTGTCCGTGATCGAATGAATGCACGCGCACTGCTTGGGTCGAGAGTGCATATTTGCCCACTGATGAGACCATGAGACTGTCTGATGGACTAGCTGATTGAGTTATATTCACACACAAAGCGGTCATTGGTCTTACTCGCCCTTGTCCTTGTCTGACCCGCTCTGCGGCGAAAAGGGCGTGATGACACTGATGGCCGCCTCACTCGCCGCGCCATCCCTCCCCGTCACACCCTCACTGCTGCTGCTGTAAGACATGCTGGCAATCGGCGGGGCTGGCGCCTCGCCACCCCTCCGGCGCACATCGGACGGCGACAGGCTTGGTGACCACAGAGGCGCGTTCGGGGCCTGCTGTCTGGCCGGTCCCCGCTGCCACTGGTGGGGTGAGGAGGGGGTGGACGGGGGCTTGCGTGAGGGCGACAGCTGTGGGGGCGTCTGGCGGTCGAAGGCCGGCTGGTGCTGCTGCCTCTCCATCTCTTCCTCGAGCCGCTTCTCCACCATTGGTCTGTATTTCTTGAGCTTGTCGGTCGACCATGGGAGCGGGAGGGTGGCGTCGGGCGGCGGGGCTGCCGCCTCGGAGGATGACGGGGGGGCCTTGCTGGGGCTGATGGACGCTAGCTCCACCTGCAGACAGACAGACAACCAAGATGTGCACCGACCGACATGCGAAGTGCTGTAGGTGTGTCGACCTGAACGTATACAGCCCATATCTGCCGCATCTCCCAGCTCCAGCCCCAATCTGCACACAGACCTACGACATGAATCGATCTCGTCGTCTCCTTCGGACACTCACCGGCATTGTCGGTGCCGGGCGAGGTGAAGAACTCCACCAGCTGTCGTGTCCGCTCATCTACCACTCGACCGCCATCCTCTCTGTCTTCGGCCCCAGCACCGCTCCCCTTGCCGTCAGCAATTGTCGTGATCTCCAGCAGCCACCTTGACGCCGCCGGGCGTGGCTCGGGGTGTGGTGGTGGCCGGCCGCCTCGCCGCGCGTCCCTCTTGCTCGCCGGGCCGAAGAAGACGTCGACGAGATCCTTCGGCAGGCTCGTGGTGGATCGAGCCAGCTGGATGAGCACGCGAGCGGCGATCCACCGTGCTGCTGGCTGGAAGGACCAGCATATCATGGGCAGGCCGATCAGCTGCTGCTCCGTGGTCGTCTCTCCCCCTCCCTCTTGCTGCTCGCCTTTCATCCCCTGGTCGGCCGCTATCGCATCCTTGACGTCTCGCAAATTGGGGCAGGGCAGCAGCACAGCGAGCAGCGGAAGGAGCCCGCCACGGCCGAGGTATGCCGCCCCCAGCTGCTGCGTAGCGCTGCTCCGTGGCTGCGTGTCGAGCAGGGCCGACAGGACCTTCAAGGACCGCTCGACGAGGGGGGACGATGGGGCGGCGCGGATGAGCTCGAAGAAGGCCTTCATGGCCTCCACCTTCTTCTGCCCGTCCATCATGATGGCATTCCTGAAGGAAGGAGACAGCAACCGGACACCCCCACCAGTGGCCATTGCTGCGCCATCCGCCGTGGCACCGCCCTCAGATGAACTCTCGACCGCCCCGCCGTCAACGTCGCTCTCACTCTTGCCACCCAACATCTCCGGCGACCTCGGCGCGGGCAGCACCAGCGGCACTAGGGAGGGCGACACACCGGTTGCTGGCGCCTCGCCACCGATGGCCGTCTCGAGTAGGCTGACGATGGCGTGGAAGGTAGAAGCGTGCCGGTAGACCCCGCTGTGGCCCATGACGTGCAGCAGGATGCCCCACAGCTGGCCGGCCGGCATCGGGGGGACGGCACCCACGTCGACCACGTCGCCTTCATGCCCCTCTCCCTCTCCATCGCCCCCTCGCCCATCTGCAGGTGGCTGATGGTGCTCGTGCGCCGCCATCTCTGATGCGGGCGACGGCAGGGAGGATGGCGTGGGGAAGCTGGGCACCTCAAACACGCGCCGCCAGAACTCGTTGTGCGGGATGGATGTCAGCAGCAGCCTGAAGGCCTGCAGGTGCAGGCGGACCTCCTCCTCGGTGCTCGACGGCAGGGGGGAGTCGACCTCCACGTATCTGCTGCTCGTGCTGGTGGTGGTGGTGCTGCCTGGGTGGCTCTCTGCTCCCGTCACGAAGAGGGCCGCCGTGGGTGGGGGCGATTCGTGGATGAAGGAGGGTGCGTTGAGGTTGCGCCACTTGATGCGCGCGCCTGAGGCGGCTTTGGAGCAGTGGGCGGCGACGGCGTTGGACCGCCGGATGAGGTCGCAGAGCAGACTGAGGTCCGTCTCGTCGGTGCGCTCTGAGAGATGAGGGGATGGCCAGCCAGCAACACAAACACAACACACATGGACAGGTCGGGTGTTGGTGCGTCCCGTCCGTGAGAGTGTGTGTGTGTGTGTGTGTGTCACCAGGTCCTTCTATGTAGATGTCCAGGAAGACGCCCCCGATGCGCAGGTGGCTGTTGAGTGTTCGCTGGTATGGCCCTATCCGCTGGTGGGCCGTCATCCACTCCCAACGCTGGTGACGCAGCGATCCCTCACCTGACATACACACACACACACACACACACAGCAGTGAGTGACATGACGCCATGACATCTGGACACTCATCATGTGCGCTGCGCGTACCATGGACGGGGCTGCGTGCCATGTCGCCCAGCCGCACGTCGGCGGGACACCTACACACACACGGACACACACACACACACACACACACAGGCAATATATGAGCAGCATACAGAGGGAGGAGAGAGAAGTAGGGAACACATCGTCGTTTGTTTGTTTGTTTGAGGCGCCCACGCACTCGAAGTTGGTGAGTTCTGCCAGGACGAATTTGAGTAGGTCAGCCCTCGTGTTGTCGTCCCATATCATGTCGGAGGTGCGGAACCGACCGCAAAACCACTCGTAGAAAGGCGCGGGATCCTGATCAGATGTGGTGTCCCGCCACACACCAATGTTGACCCATGGAATGGATGTGTATCGCCTCCCTCTGATTTGATTGACCCGTTCGACCCACTTCACCCACTTCACTCACCTCATATGCGCACTGCAGTCTTGGGAAGAAGGCCGACCCGCGAAGTGGCGTCAAGAGGGTACACAGGCAGCCGTGCACGTCATCGTCTGCACCCTGTGCGCTCACAAAGCACCCGAGCAGCCTGACGGCCTGCAGCGGCAGCAAAGCCGGACCCTGACCCTGCCCCTGCCCCTGACTCCCCCCCTGACGCGCCGCCTCTCCCTCTCCCTCCTCTCTCCCCTCCCTCTCTTGTCCGCCGCCCCCAGCCGTCTGCGCGCCTGCGGTGGTAGTAGTGGGTAGCCCGCTGTGGGACAGGATGATCAGCAGGGTGATCAGAGGGCACCCCGCGTCCATCGCCGTCCTCAGCGACCGACGCCGCTGGTGCAGAATGCTCGTGATCAGGGCCAGCGGCTCGGCCACCAGGGCATTGTGCGCCCCAACAGCAGCGCCAGGAGGGGGCTCACTCTTGCGCTGCTGTTGTCCCTTCTGTGTGAGTGTGGAAGCTGCGGGGCGTGGCGCGGTGCTGACGGCTGGGAATGGGTGCAGCGGGTGCGGCAGGGGGAGAGGGATGTCCGGCCGTGGGATGGCGTGAGAGAAGGGCTGGGGAGCGGTGCGCAGCCACCAGCAGAGCACGAGGACCAGCCGGGTGGCCAGCCAGTCGGCGATGGCGCGGGGGCGGGACCACACCGAAGAGGCCGACGACAGACACCGGAAGATGTCCAACAGCGTCTGCAGGCAGGATGATGAGAGAGGGAAAAAGTGTCGTTTGTGCGGTCGGTGTCATCTTTCGTCTCTTACCGGCAGCCATTTGGGCAGCGGTCCATCGAGGGGCGGCAGTAGCCTGAGGAGCACCTCAAACCACGTCGGGTCGACATCGCCAGGGTCTAAGTCACCCTGCATCAATCATTGTCATGACGGACAGACAGAGCCAAACAAACACACCGTTGCTCTCAGAGCTTGTTCGTTCGTTGGTGCCTCCTCACTCACCTGGAAGTCGCCCTTGAGGAGTTTGAAGACAGCAGTGAGGTGCAGCTGCGTCCGGGCATCGTTGTGTCTGGGGGAGAGCTCGCCCTCCGTCTCGTCCTCGACGTCGCCACCCACCTCCTTCCGACCGCCGCCGGGATGATGCGACCGATGGTTGATGTGAATTCCGCCCTACACGCACACACACACACACGCACACACAGAGAGAGTGAGAGTGAGAGAGTGCAGGTGTGTTGTGTGAAGGGGCGGACCATTTCCAGGAAAGATGTAGATGGTGGGTGCAGTGCGTGTGGTGGGTGGTAGGCGTGTGAGGAGGTCTTGATGTGCAGCTCCAGCGAGTCTAGGATGGACTTGAGCAGCGGGGCCGCCTGCACGTGGGGCGGCAGCTTGGCCGACGGAATCCCGTTGAACCTACACACACACACACACACACGCACACGCATTCAGAGTGGATGCATGGCTGCATCGATACCT